TAGCTCAATTATATTAATAAAAAATTTATCATGTTATGGGTCTTTTGCAAAATGCGAGCCGATGACAATAGGATGCACAGGCGACGATGGTAAGAAATAAAAAAATTATGGGTTAAAATAGAACTAAAGAGGTTATGATTAATAAAATAATATTTTATTAATATTTTAATATGTTGTGATTGTGGGTGTTTAAATCAAACCAAACTCAGAGCCAAACTTGAGCCAAACTGATTCACTAATAATTTAATTTTCAAGGTTATAAATGGTTCAAAAATTAAGAGGGTATTTTTCTTCGATTTGATTAACTAATTTAGAACGAGTTGAACCGATTATAATTTAAAATATATCACCTCTATTCCCTTATTGGTATCACTCTATCGTTTGAGATATGAACTATTTTTTTTATTAATTTTCTTTGTTAATAATCCCTTTCTTTTATTTGTGTGAATTCCTTTATTGATTTCTATGCATCAGTGTGTATCCTTATCATCAACAAGAGGAAATAAAAAATCACTAATGCATATGGGTGGACTGATTGTTCACAAAGGGGAGGTATCATCATAAATGACAATTACTTAAATCTACCAGAGGACCCTTAGCTTATGGACTCCCAACTTTCTTAAATGTTGTTACCGGAACAAGTTTAGTTTTTATGTTGTCTTATTGTTAATTCATTTCTTCCTTCTATATCTAATTTTGTTTTTTTAATATTTAAAATAATATTTGCAACATAAATGTTTTCGGAATGTTGATCTATCGACTGAAAATTCTGGCCTCGGTTCAATTAAATTGAACTGACTCACCAAACCATTTGAAATTTATATAAATTATTTAAAATAAAATAAATTATTCAAATTATCTTACTAATAATTTTTCGATTTAATTTAATTCGGCTCTTGTCGATTCTATTTATACCGGTTTGAAAACCCATTGCTATATTCAAATGACCTGAAATGTATATATATTGACGATTTTGCGAACGCACATAGCGAAGTCACCTTCGCCAACGGTTTCCTGTCACTCCTCCTTCCTTTTCCCTCCCTGTCAAAACCAGGGGCCGCCGGCGGTGACCCTGTCCCCCTCCCTGTTATAAGCTCACCCACTCCCATCCTCTCTCTCTCTCTCTCTCTCTCCTCTCTCTCTCTCTCTTAACACGCACACGGAATGCCGGCCGCTGTAGGCTCCTCCTCTTTCCTCTTACCACCGATCGCCAAACCGCTCAAACCACCATCCTCCGTCCCCAATCGAACCCTATCCCTCCGCCCCGTCCCTGCACCGCTTTCTGCTCGATCCCGACTCCTTGGCCGCTTTCCCATCCGCGCCGCTGTCCACGTCGACAAGGAGACCCCCGAGAACGAGAGGCCGGACACATGCCTCCTCTCCGCCGACGGCCCCGAGTCCCCCGCCCCCATCCGTGTCCGATTCGAGAAAATGATACGGGAGGTCCAGGACGAAGTGTGCGCCGCCCTCGAGGCCGCGGACCGTGTGGGCAAGTTCAGGGAGGACGTGTGGTCGAGGCCCGGCGGCGGCGGCGGGATCAGCCGGGTGCTGCAGGACGGAGCCGTCTGGGAGAAGGCTGGGGTGAACGTGTCGGTCGTGTATGGGGTTATGCCGCCGGAGGCTTACCAGGCTGCCAAGGGGAAGACCGGAACTGGCCGTGGAGATTCTGCAGTGAACGCCGGGCCGGTGCCGTTCTTCGCTGCTGGGATCAGTTCGGTACGTGCTACAATCCCTTCAAAATCTGCCGACTTTGGTACGACCGACAATGAGTAGGATGTCGACACAAAGCAACTTTCCTGTCTTGACTTCTATTGAAGCAGCTATTCTTCCTGTATGCAGGTTTTACATCCCAAGAATCCATTTGCCCCGACATTGCATTTCAACTATCGGTACTTTGAAACTGATGCACCGAAAGGTACCCTTGGAAATTACATTTTCTGTCATATAGAATTTTATAGTTTATCGCCGATTCGACAGCAAGCATTGGATTTCAACTATGTACTTGAAAATTGCTACCTATTAAGTGTTGATCGTCAACATTTTTGTGTTATTTGGGCTTTTACATGAGGCCATGTACAGATAGACATAACCAACTACAGTTTTGGCTTAGAAAAGTGGAATTAGTCTTGACCTCATATGGACCAAAATAATGAAGCCATTTAGCTGAATCCAAGTGAAAGACAATGGTTTTAGTGTTCATCACTAGTTGCATTAATATCAATAGAGGATCGTATTTTTAGAGGTAATATCAATATTGATGGAGATTACTGTTGCATTAGTTTCATAGCTATAAGAAGCTCTAATGTCGAAACTATTTGGGTTCGTCTATATGATGCTTTTACTGCCATTGGGCTCTCCATAAGGCTGGACCTGCTTCAAAAATTCTGAGGAGTTTAAATAGAACATCCTCACAATTTTTGCTACCACCACAGAATTGCAAGTGAACACTTCATATGAGAGAGCACACAAATGGCATGCTACATTTGTTTCACTATTCCCTAAAACATTGTTAATTGGAATGTTCATGCTGTTGATTGTTTGCTGCTGATTGACTGTATTTCACTATTCCAAATATATTTGCTGATAAGATGCTTGACTGTATTTATAAAGATAATTCTGAATGCCATGCAGTAGATTGTAGACCATCATTGTGATCAGATGATTTACGGAAACTATTGGGGATGCCAAATGTATGTACTTGCCGTGGGCTATGGACAGAGTTTAAGTTTTTTTATAATTTACAAAGTGAATTGATTAACATGAACTCAACAATTAAAATATAGCTCGTTTTCCCTTAATCAATTAGTTCTCTTTGTTGCTTTTCTCTGAAGTACCTGTTTTCTTGCCATATACTAATTTCTGGCTACAGATGCCCCAGGTGCACCTAAGCAATGGTGGTTTGGTGGTGGCACTGATTTGACTCCTGCTTATATTTTTGAGGAGGATGCAAAGCATTTCCATAGGGTAAGTGTGAAGCTTATGATATTTGTATTGTTGCTTGGTTTTCTTTTGTTGTTCTTATTTAATAGATGTTGCTGTCGCTTGCAATCCAAAATCCATGTTTTAGAACAATCATTTGTGTGAATTGATTTTCCATTTTGGATTGACAAATCATTCTCTTTTAGGTTCAAAAGCAAGCATGTGATAAATTTGAGCCAAGATTCTATCCCAGATTCAAGAAGTGGTGTGATGACTATTTTTTTATAAAGGTAAAGCTTCTAGACTTCAATTGTTCATCATCCAACAGGGTTGTTCCTGATTTGCTTTTTTTGACTGAGCTTATTTGCTAAACTTTTTTGTTTGGTACTGCAGTCTATATATCCGAGTCATTACTCACTAGAAGCTCAATGTTTAACTCTAGACTAATAGTGGTTGTGACTTTGACACATTACCCAAATTGTTTTATCAGATCTATGTGTTGATTTATGGACCTTAATATGATTTCAGTAACAGCCACTAGAATCTCAAGGTTTTGTTTTAGGATGGCTTTGTGAGGTTGCCCTCCTATTAATGGCAACTCTTTCTTGTGGATTCTTGGTAGCATGAAGTAGCTAATACAATTTGCATTCCAAGGGATGTGGGTTGTATCCCTGATCATGGTTTATCCGGAAGCTGTTTTTGTGATCTTGGTGGGATATTATAGCAAGATAATATATTTTTATCAATTTACAGAAATAAAGTTAAGAAATACAAAATTACAAAGTATGTGAAATTTTCAATCCCTGTTTCATGCTATTTGCAGCATCGGGGTGAAAGGCGTGGACTCGGCGGAATATTTTTTGATGACATTAATGAGTATGATCAAGAACTGCTTCTTGGTTTCTCTACTGGTAATTCTGAACACAAATCTGCCCTATTTTTTATATTGCAGTTCCATGGACATGTCCGAATATTGCTTCACATATCCTACAAGTTGATTCATTAATAAATTTCTGTTTATAAATAAGTCATAAAAATTATAGGGATCATTTAGAAAGGAGAGCTGTATTTTAATTGTTGACTTGTCTATCGAGTCAGTTTGAGAGGGATAATTGTGACAAACTTTGGCAAAACTTCTTTAATGATTTGTTCTAATTGTCAATGGTGTATCCATCTGTAGAATGTGCAAAATCTGTTGTTCCATCATATATACCTATCATAGAACGACGCAAGAATACCCCTTTTACTGAGCAGCACAAGGCGTGGCAACAGCTACGAAGGGGACGCTATGTAGAATTCAATCTGGTAACTACTGAGGGAAATAAATTGCATGTATTGATTACTTTTAGCTTGACATTTAACTTAACAGAATGTGCATCTTGAAGATTTATGATCGCGGCACCATGTTTGGACTACAGACCGGAGGCAGAATCGAGAGCATTCTTGTTTCCCTTCCCTTGACAGCTCGGTGGGAATATGGTCATGTGAGCTTCTCCACTTGTTTCTGTTCTCTCTCCGCCAATTCAAATCAATCATTCTACTTGAATATCTTATTCAGCAGCAACCAGAAGAAGGCAGCGAAGAATGGAAACTCCTTGATGCATGCATTAACCCAAAAGAATGGATTTGACCTCAACTTTTGATTCGATTGTGCTTGAATGTAGAGTATAATAAACTCCATTGCTGGTTTCGGTGTTACTTCATCTGAGCTTGTGGAAGCCTCAGGTAATAAATTGTGATTTGGTCATCGGAACCTCTTCTGCTGTGTTCTCAGGTTATGATTGCAATCTTCAGTCTTCTTGTTCCTCATAGTAATTCATCTGATCCCTTTCAAGCATCAAGTAAATTTGTGAGTTGGTCAATAGTTACTCTTCTAATGTAGAATGTGTTCTTCTTAGGTTATGATTGTCATTTTTAGACTAACTTGATCATGATTGTAATATACCTTGTCTCTTTCAAGCATTAAATAGAATTTGATTGGGCCACTGGAGATGTTATTAGACTGTGTTCTCAGCTTGTGATTGCAATCTCGGTCATTGCTGTGTGCCTCTCACGTGTTACTGCTTTGGTTAAGCTGTATGGTTGTGCTGTGAGTATAGAATCCGACCCGCGCGAGGTCCGGATCCGATAACCACAAAGATCATTCCGCTACACGCAACTCACCGAGTTGGATTGGGCCGGCGAATCGGGAGAGGGAAGCAGGGGAGGGATGGCATCTCGAAGCGCGGCGGCAGCGCTAGGGCTTTTGGCCTTGGCATCGTTCTGCTGTTCGATCCCGTTGGTCCGCGGGGAAGCGGTGGATGGAGGAACAGGACGAGGAGGCGGAGATGGTGGCGACGCCGCCGAAGGCGCTAGGGGAGCGCGGTTGCTGCTCAGCTTTCATGAAGCCAAGGGGAACGCCTCCTTCAGGTGCTCTCCCGTCGGCCCTTGCCTCCCTTGCCAGTACTCTGAGAAGGTAGGTGCCCGTCGTTTTCTTCCCCCAATTCTATCTCCTCCTCCCCCATCCAGTCGTTCCTTCCTAAGATGTTTAGAAAATGAAGAAATTGGGTGTGCTTGCTTTTTCTTTTAGTTCACAGATACCTTGCCATTGTCTACTTAATTACTTGTAGAACATGGAACAAATTCAACCAACGCATTCACTGATGTACATATTTTCCTAGGCATTCAATCACTAGCCAGAAAAAGAATAGACCTAAGACTTTTGGTAGCAAAATTTGGTACCTTTATTCAGTATGAAGCAGAATGAAAACAAATCGACCATAAAGATTTGTTTTTTGTTAGCTTTTTACAATATGTAATCATGGCCTCCCTGAAGGGATGTGTTACTATCAGATCTCATTTTAGATCCCTTAATTCATTATATCTCATTTTGCACCTGGCACCTCCTAAAATCCGTTGCTCTTGTTCATATAGTTTCTTTTTCCCACCTTAGATCCTTTGCAACGTCTAATTTCTTGGGTATTTTTTATTTTGTTTTGTTCACACCAACTCTAAATTGGTGGATGCAGAGTGATCACAAATATCGATGTAGTGAAACTGGCTATCGAGTGCCTTTGAAATGTGTACAAATAAAAGATAGTGTGGGGGAGGCAAGCAGGATCAAAGCTCGAAGAAAGCTCTTCTTCCTCCAAGAACATGCATCAGCAGTGCAGAAACAAATCTTCACCTCTATAAGTAACTATAAATGGAGGAAACTGTTGGCTGATTCGTCAAAATCAGAGAATGAAGAAGAAAGCTATATTACTTATAGGAGCTGTGTACCAGTTGATAGTGAGGAGAAGTTGTCCGTACTTGGTTTTGAGGTATGATAGTTACAGTGGCACCATAAATTTTATCATGAATTTTTTTTGCATCTTTGTCGAATGTTTTAGGACAATATGATTCTTATATGGTTTTGTATGGAATCTTTTGTTATTATAATACAAATGGAGATGAACATTTAGCTCACAAGGCCTTGGAAGTTATTCACGGAGTTATCCTGACTATAGAATGAATCATAGAGAGAAAGAAGGCCAACCATGCAAAATGAAGCTAGTATAAGCAAGAACAATCAAAATGATAGAAGATGATGAAGAAGATAATACAAAAGAGAATGATCTCACTGCATAAATGAAGAGTGATATATCATAAAGTGAGATTAGAAGGACGTAGAACTTGTGTGATGGTCAATCCTGAGAATCCATCTGTTAGTTTGCTGTTGATAACTTCTGTTGTTGGTGTCTACATCTAAATTCTCAGCTTATAATTAACTGAAAATGTAATCTGAAACTTGAATAGACAAAGATGCATAGAAAGCCATTGGTGGCATTTATATGCCCTGTGTCATTTACATTCTCGTACCTCAAAAATTGTTAGAGAAATCAATGAGCATGGCTGCGGAGTAGTGGTAATCGAGAGTTATTTGTGAAGAGGTTCATTGAACTTTGTTGTTTGCTCTTGCAATGCGACTCTAAACTCAATGAGTTCCTCTACATGTCAGAAGCTGATTTGAGGACCTGTTGAACTTGGATGTTCTTGATTAATTCTTGCCACATGCTGGGGCTTCTACACAATTTATAAAATAATCAGTTGTACAACATTAGTTTCTGTCGTGAACCATTCTGACATCTTCGTAAACTGTTTAGCAATCGTCTAATCTCGTTCCCTCTTTTGTGCTTCAACAGGTGATTATGGTGGGCTTGTTACTTATAAGTGGTTCAGTTATTTACTTGCGGCAAAAGCGTACTGCAGTCATGCCAGGAGTTGCACCAGTGAGGATACCCACAAGCTCCCCTAGGTTCTGATACGGGTGAGATCAAAGGATGAATAGATACATCATTCTCAATTATATGTTGCGACTTGGTTTAGCCATTTTTAACTTTCTTTTCTCCGCCTCTTTGTTTCAGCCACTGAATTATTGCATATTGCGTCCATCGAAATGCTAAGATTCTTCCACCAACACTTTCTTGTCGCATTTAATTTTCAGATTGTGTTTTCCAAGGACTCTCTTTAGTCAAACTGTAGCTTATTGTGTCACCATATCTATTGCATTATAATCTTCCTGTTGTCCATTATTCTTAATAGGTTTGTTCTATGGATCCCAAGCACGACCTCTTACACGGATCAATTTATGGATCTTTCTTCAGTTATGGAGCTCACATGTCCAATCATTTTCAGATTCTCTGGCATTCTTCAACAGGTTGCAGCTGATCAATTTCAGGAAGTACTGTTGGACTTTGGATGTTAGCAACTGGAAACATCCATATGGATGTCGAGACTGAGTTGCAAAGAACAAATGAATGAATGCAATAGAATGGATGGGAAGAGTATTAGTAGATGCTTGTCTTAAGGTGGTTTCTTTCTCAGTTCGCCCTTGTAATGATGTATGCTTGATGACTGCTGCAAGGAGCTCATATGAGTTGAGATCTCCCTACAATTGCAGCCTGTGTAAAACTGATATCCATGAGATGTAATGGAAAGGTAATATCTCATCCTCAAGTGTTAGCAAAAGCTTCGATGCCGTTGATTCCGATTTATATATCACGTTCAGCTTCAACTCCCCGCAAAAGCTTCGGCGGAACGTATCCACCGTAGATTGCGTTAGGAAACGGTCAACGATTCGGAAGTCAGCTTCCGCCTCTCTTTGCGGCGGAATTTGGGTTAAGTATCAACGGCACCTCACGAGCCGAAATCTCCGCGACAAATCGCGTCACATAACAACAAATCAGAACTCTTCTTCCGCTTCTTTATCCTTTCGATCTTTGGAGCAGCTCTGGCAAGTCAAAGTAGGTCAATCAACTTGTCTCAGGCTCGGGTTAGTGCCGCAGACCAACCATCCCACCACCACGTTCTCATGCTCTCAGCTTCTTCTTCCTTGGCTAAAGACCCAACCAGAAAGCTAAAGCTAAAGAAGAATAAGAAGAAGAAGAAAAGATTGATGCAGATCGGAGGTTAGGAATACCAAACCTACTACGACTTCCTGGAGGGGCCCTCTCATCCACCAAGTGCAGTAGTACAAGTGGTATTACCTGCCCAATCTCTCTCACTCCAGCGAGCTACACGTTGATTAGATGTCTGCGTGTTGAGATGTGGCCTTTGACAAATCCGGGCACGTCACAGATCCATTTGACTTGGTACAAGATCAAGCACCGGCAACTCCTTAAGCTTCCGAGGTCAGTGTTCTTGACGTTTACAACTGCATCATCAGGATGGGGATTAGTTCACCCACTGAGACATGAACCCAACACCACACTGAAAAGAACAAATAGGAGGAGTATTTACTACGGTTCTGTATGATTGTAAGAAATAGTTACCGGGAGAAACAACAAGTCATGGACTGATGGATGAGACGCTACTGTGACTGGCTCAGTCTTTTCCACATATCGAGAAAAACACAAGCTTTTTACAGTGCTTCTGCTTTGATCGCAGCAACTCGGTGCTGCTCTGCTTTGACCTGCCATGGAAAATGTACATGGAGCAGCAGCTCAACCTTTCCCTCTCTCACGCTTCATCCCATGTGTGGTGGTGAAGGAGACCCAGGCTGTGCCTGCCATCTACTGCCTGCAGCAGGAAGAAATCAAGCTCAGGTGCAGCAGAGAGGATCTAGTGGGAGTTGATATAGGATAGATCAGTTCGATCAGATCATTTCGACGGTTTAGATAATTTAGAAATAAAAAATGAGAAAACAAATTATTAAAAATATTTTTTTTATATTAAATGAATATGTTTATGATTAAATTATTGACTAATGAAAATTGAATGAATATATATTTTTTATTTTCTCAATAAAACATCTCATATCTTGTTTATTACAATGGGATATACTCATTAACTCACAGCCAAAAGAAATTCTAATTTTTCCCAACCATGCATCTCCCACATCACCTCTGCAGACCTCAATCTAAGGAGGATATCCAACTATATCTTCCTGTTCCCATTCCTGGTGGGTCCCTGGGCAAAAAGCAGACATCACATGTCTGGTTCAGATACACAGCACCAGTTCCATTGCAGGAGCTTGACCCCCCTTTTGTGCCTTTTAAGAACCTCTCTCTCTCTCTCTCTCTCTCTCCCCCTCTATCATGCTTGATACCACCCAGTGCTGCACTCCATCTCCAGGAATAACCAACACACAAGAGATGCCCTCCTGTGTTTGAAAACAATAGCTTCCCTCTCTCTCTCTCTCTTTCCTTTCAACTCCCAGCAAGACTTTCTCTCCCCCTCATTCCTTGGCCTCTTCTACCTTCTTCCAAGCCACTCTTTTCCTCTCACCCAAGTTTGAAACTTCCCAACCAACCAGGGAAGCCAAAAGAACCCCAATGACTTCCAAGGAAGGTATTCTGGTGCTCAAATCTGTCTTGTCTTTCTTGCAACCTGCTAACTCCCATGTTCTGACTGATGAAGTTGATCGAGTATTTTCTTCAATCTCCAGAGCTTGATCAGGAAGAAGCCCCCAAGAGTAATTCGAACTCTGTAGAAGGTTTGCTTCCTCTCGTGCTATTTTGTTCTTTTGGGTTCTTGTTCTTGATTCGTCATCAGTACTTGTGGAATCAGCAGAGCAGCTTTCTCCCAAGGAGGCGCAGAAGGATCCTTCGATTCCGGTAAAAGGTAAGCTTCAGATCATAGCATCAGTCCCTTTTTATTGTCATGAAATCTTCCTGTTGTTCTTTTTACTGTTATTTTGATCAGGGGAGCATAGTATCTATCGGTGGCTTTGGTCTCCAAAGATCGGATATTATGCTATTTTGATATGATCATTACATCTTCAAAAACTTGTACTAAGATCAAGAGGAATAAACCTTACTATTGGAACTTTATCTATCGGCAACTCGACATCTTTCATTGTTTTGCGGCATTGAATCATCAAGGAAGGTGTTTGAACCGAGACAGATTAATGATAAACAACGAAAAAAAAAATCATATTTTTATCGCTGATTCTTACAGGAACAGAGGAGAATGAACAGAGTTCCAAAGCAGAGAGTGAAGACAACAGCGTTGATGGCTCCGATCAGAGACCACCCGATGGAGCTGCGCTCGATCACAACTCCATAGTAGAGTCCGAAGCCCACAGCGTCGATGGCTCCGACCAGAACTCGCCCAGAGGCGTGCTCGACTCTACATCAAGTGCAGAATCCGATGGGAACAGCAGCAGCAGCGACACTTCATCGGTGGACCGATCGATAGCCCCATGCGGGACAAGACTGGAGTCCCACAGCGTGCAGTGGCGCAACCTGATTGCAGGGTTCATAATGAGAAAGAAAAGGTCGATGACGAGGCTGTCGACGTTTCCACCAGCAACCGGGAGATCGAGCTTGCGCAGGGCCTTGGAGAGGATCAGGAGTAGCAAGGATGGGACCGAAAGTGGACGAATCGTAGTGGAGGTCAAGATGGCCAGGCCTTCATGGAGGAGCTTCGCATACGAAGAGCTTGCAGCTGCCACCGATGGGTTCAGCCCAGGTAAACATCTCCTTCGTTCTGCATCCGGCTGCCATCAATGACTGATTTGGGCTTCTTCCGATTCATCATTTGCGATCAATTCTTTGATAGACAAGTTGGTCGGCAAGGGAGGACATGCAGAGGTCTATAAAGGGTGTTTGGGTGATGGCCAACTTGTGGCAGTGAAGAGGCTGATAAAGAGGGAGAGCGAGGAGGAGAGGATAGGGGATTTCTTATCCGAGCTTGGAATCATTGCTCATGTGAACCACCCTAACGCTGCACAGCTGCTGGGGTTCAGCGTGGAAGGGGGTCTGCACCTGGTTCTGCAGTTCTCCCCTCATGGAAGCTTGGCTTCTCTGCTCCATGGTAAGGCTGCTGCTGCTTCTTGCAACATAATTCTCACCAGCAAACTCTGTAGTCCAGTGATGAAGACGGCATCAGTTCTCCAGGTTCAAAGGAGGCTCTCGATTGGAGGGTGAGGTTTCAGATCGCCGCAGGCATTGCAGAAGGCCTGCGCTACCTCCACGAGGGCTGCCAAAGGCGCATAATCCACAGAGATATCAAGGCCTCAAACATACTCTTAACTGAAGACTTCCAACCTCAGGTGCTCATTTCAGTATCTAAGAGAGTCGTGTGGCGGCTTCGATTAAGATTGGTAGCTTTTAGAGTCAGTAAAATCTTTTAGCTGTAACATCATCAAGCGAGTAGAGTATCTAAGACACAGTTGTTCTATGTCTCTTTCTTGTCGATCTACATATTCTACTTATCTTGCATTCCAAATTACATTTCTCTACCGATATTTGAGGATTTTTTTCTGTAACACGCAGATCTCCGATTTCGGGCTTGCAAAGTGGCTGCCAGACAAATGGAATCACCATGTTGTGTTCCCCATCGAAGGCACATTCGGGTGAGATCAATTGAAGTCCATTTCTTGAGCTTGAATTGGAGTGCTTGTTAAAGTTCAGTGCGACCGTGATGTCTAGATACTTGGCACCGGAGTACTTCATGCACGGAGTGGTGAATGAGAAGACGGATGTGTTTGCCTTTGGGGTGCTGCTGCTGGAGCTCATAACAGGAAGGCGAGCAATTGATTCCTCGAGACAAAGCTTGGTGATATGGGTATGACCGATACTTCTCCACCTTTTTAAGGCTGCTGGTTGATCTCTGTTGCAAGTTCACTACCAAATCTATGCATTAACACCTGGTGATGATCAAAGGATGCTGAAACTTGGTTGTGATCAAGAAATTATTAGTCAAAATCAAGTCATAAACAAGTAGACAACATGTTTGATGGGAATACACAGACTAATTGCTGGTTCTTCTGAAGTATATTTTATGTGCCATTGTGCCACCTGAGACATGATCACAGGCTCTGTGCTTGCACCAGGCAAGACCACTGCTCGATGCGAACAGCGTGAAGCAGCTCGTCGACCCCTCTCTCGAAGATTCTTACGATGCGAAGGAACTGGCACGCGCGCTGCAAGTCGCCTCAGCGTGCATTCACCACCTCTCGACCTCGAGGCCAACCATGAATGAGGTGAGAGCCAAACCTTCTCATTGTTACTCCTAAGTCCGAGTGAAACAGGACGGTGCCGTTCTGCGTGCAGGTGGTTCGGCTTCTGCGAGGTGAGGAGGGGCTGATGGAGATCATAGGAAAAGAATCCAATTACAAGGTTGCTAGACCGCCATTGATCGATACTTGCGACATGGACGACTACACCTCTTCGAGGTACCTCAACGATCTCCACCGACATAAGCAGCTTGCTCTGGAGCAGTGAACTCGGCCATGGACTCTCTGGTGTGCCACACCTTGTGCATATTCGAGTCCTAATTGTATGAAAGAGAGGGAGAGGCCATGCTCACAGCTTTCAGTTGTCTTCCAAATCTAATCTTCAGTGTTGGATCTGCTCTACTCTTGTTCCTTTCCTTTGGGTGTAAATGGACTTGTTATTGTTCATGATTGTTACAAGGTCAACAATGTTTCAAATATGTCATAGATACAATCAACTCACATCAACTGAGAAAACAATATTGAGAGCCTAATTATGAATTTATTATCACCATTCATAAAAGAAAAATATGGTACCGTATCATCAACCCCCATCACATATATAATATATAATGTCAGTAAATTAATATATATTTAAAATATTTAAATAAATAATATTTTATTTATTTTATTAAATGATGTATAAAATGCTCACTGAATTTAAATCTAAGATCTGTATATGTCATTGCCAACTGATTCATTAATAAGCTCCCACCAACAATCTTATTTATGGGTTCGATCGCAATCGGAGGGCCCACTTGGGTTGGGCCCAAACGCGGTCCATGCGAACGGACGTTCGAGATCCGTGGATGGAATTGAAGCACTGCACGAATTTTGAACCGTCCATTTCCTCGAAGAAAAGTAAAGAATCTGATGACCGCCTTTTCGACCGTCCATTAAATCAAGATTTGACAATTTTCCTCTATATATTTACACCCGTATTTATATTTCGCTATTTATGGAAAATGATAATTTTTCTCATTTATAATTTTAATATAACATACATGTCCCTAAAATACTAAAAATCCGCTACTTATGTTCATCTGCCATTGCTAAGTTGCATCTAAAAATATTAAGAAGAAAAAAAAATAATATGTAAAATCTGAAAATGGAAACATATATAAGCATAATCAATAAAGTTGGATTCCTTGCTGACACTTTTCCTTTTTCTCATCTCCTCTTTCCTGCCTTCGCTTTGTTGCTTTATAACTCCAAAGCGCCAGCAACCGCTGCATCTACAGCTACAGCATTCCTTCCTCTCCAAGAAAACAAACAGAAAGCAGAGGAAGATGATCCTTCGGATCCGCAGCCGTGACGGCCTGGAGCGCGTCACCGTGCCGGACCCCTCCGCCGCCACCGTCGCCACCATTCGCTCGCTCATCGAGTCCCAGCTCGGCGTCCCCGCCGCTGCCCAAACCCTCTCCCTCGACCCCAATCTCCTACTCCCCTCCAAGGCCCAGACCCCTGCCCTCGACCCCTCCGTCCGCCTCTCCTCCCTCCCCCTCGCCCATGGCTCCATCCTCTACCTCTCTTACCCCGCCGGCCTCCGCCGCGCCGCGGCCGCTGTCCCCACGCCCCCGCCTTTCACCCCCGCTGGATCCTTTGGCCGCCGCAAGATGACCATCGACGACCTCATGGCCCGCCAGGTCCGCGTCGCCCGCCAGGAGTCCCCCCACTGCGCCGCCGCATCCTTTGACCGCGACGCCGCCAACGCTTTCCAGCTGTACGTCGCCGACACCCTCGCCTTCGCCGTCAAGCGCGCCGGCTTCCTCTACGGCCATGTGGACGAGGCCGCCCACTCCGTCGTCGTAGACTTCGTCTATGAGCCCCCCCAGCAGGGCTCCGAGGACGCCGCCACTCTCTTCCGAGACCCCGACGAGGAGGCCCTCGTCGAGGCCATCGCTGCGGGTCTCGGCATGCGCAGGGTCGGGTTCATCTTCTCCCAGGCCGTTGGTCGCAAGGCTGGCACCGCCGAGTACACCATGTCCGGCCGTGAGGTCCTGCAGGCCGCTGAGATGCAAGCCGAGGGCGGCATCCCTGAGTGGGTCACTGCAATTGTCAAGCTCAAGGTTGGGGAGGATGGCGCTGCCGACGTGCACTTCGAGGCCTTCCAGATGAGCGACACCTGCATCCGCCTCTTCAAGGAGGGGTGGTTGTTGACCGAGTTCGGGGAGGATGATGACCCCAGGGTGTCGAAGATGAAGAAGGATGTGGTGGTCGGGGTAAAGGATACCAGGGAGGTCGACAACGATTTCTTCTTAGTGCCTGTGAAGATCTCCGATCACCAGGTCAGTTTCATTATACACGCACAATCTCTCTTTGCTGATAGAATAACTTCACGCTTCAATCCCTCAAAGTAGAAAATTCATAAGATCTGTGTCATATATTGGCTAAATTGGTTCTTCCAATAATGCTAGTCTTGAGTGTTAGAGTGAGGAGAAGATTGAAAAAGAGGACTAAAAGAATAGTTTCACATCGATAAATATTGAGAGTTGATAATATATATTTGATTTTAGCTCACAATCTAACTGATTTAGCTTTTGGATTGAATTAGTGTCTGTCTCAATGTACATTAATCCTGACTAGTTTGATCATCTTTAATGGATTTCTAACAAGGAGGCTCTTTGTTGCTCAGTGTCAGTGTTTTATGCATTTCAGCCTGATCTCTAACCTGGAGGATTTTATTTGTGCTGGATGAAGTTTTTTCGACAACAACAAGCCATACCTCTTTCTTATTTAGGCTTGGCTTGATTATAGTATTTCGTAGTTATGATTTTTCTTCTGTTTCCTAATTTCATTCTAACCAGATATGTGTAACGTTCACCAAGGAAAATGTAGTCAATTCAGTCAAAGAAGAGAATGGTCAATGTGCTGGTGAGGTTCTAAATGGGTATGAGTACATACTGGTGATGAAGTTCAAATTTTGACAGGAAACTTGGATTTGACAGCAATATCTGCAAACCCTTTGGATTTGATTTCGTATAGATGTATGAGTCAAGGTTAAGATAATTTTCTGATGATGATGATGAAACCCGATTTTCATATGTTTCACATAACTTGATTATCAAGTCTCTGTTCTAAAGGTTCTTTTACAGGAAAAGGCAGCTGACTGATTTTGAATATTATTCAATTTAAATATGACTCATGTTTGGTTGTCTGGTATAATCTTGGTGGAATTGAGGTTTGGAACTCAAGAGGAAGCTACTGTTGTTTTAAATCTGTGCACCAAATATGTAGCAAAAAAAGGTAGATGACAGAAATAGTAGATGGGGAAGAAAGGTATCAAGAAGAGCAATAAAAGAATAGGTGAAAAGGTGGCCTGCAACACATCTGAACTTGTTTTGGTGATTTCATTGAAAATTCTCCTTTCCTTAAGCACTAATTAGACGACACTTGAAACTCTATGTTGGGGATTATAAAACAAACACAAACAGGGCCTGGAATAGCTGCCTAATCACGCTCCTATTTTGTTCAGACTAACACCTTTTTTATCGAAGTTCAGGTCCAGATAAAACTCTTAAATAGAAGGTATTGCAACTTAATATTTGTCATCTAATTTATTTTTTTAAACAGAACCAGATGCCCACAAATTAACATAGTCAATTGCTTAGCAAGTTGAATTTTGTAGGACCATGGAAGTTATGAGAATTTTCAGGTTAACATGTCAATGATGGTGCTCAAAGAATTGGAGAGGTGTATCCCGTGGAGGAAGAAGACGGACAACATATGGACAAGGTTCCTACATGTATATAAGATATGCTAATCAGTGTCTCCAACTCTGATATGCATTGATTATAGCTTACTGGTGTTGTAGTTTTTAATATCTAAGACAAAATCAATCTTTAAGTTAAGATGTAATAAGAATTGGAAGCAATTCTTTAGGCATAACTTGATGTTGAAATCTCCACTTGAAAATTACACTTTTTTGTTAGCAATAGGTCACCGTATCATGTAAATCACGCATACTTTAGCTTGTATTTATGGCACTCTAGTTTAACCTCATTTGTTTAGATGCCACGCTCAAGGGTGATATATCAATGACAATTAGATTAGGAACTGATTGGTTTCAGATTAAAGAGTTGTCAGCCCTTGTTTTGATTATGGTTAATAAAGAGTACAAGGGAGTTTTAAAAAAGACTAGAGAGGAAAAAAAGGAACTGGAGCAGAAAAAGGCCACACTCAAACTAAGACTAGGCATTACTTAACTCTTAAACCTTATGATCGCTCACTGTGGATCCATAAAAAAGGAATTCATATGGAGTTAGGTTGGATTGTGTCCATTTTAGTTAAATAGTCTTTTTACTTTTTTCTTCAGGATTTTTTTACTCATTTTTATGGTCTATGAAAGTTCATTTAAGATTCTAAATAGAAGAGTAGGGATGGTAGATAGTGTAAATACTATCCTTATATAAATTTATCAATGATTTTCAATGTAAAAAGTTTCAGAAAAAACTCGAAAGGAATTCAAAAAAATTGTTTCTGATAAGAATCCAGTGTCAGAAAATTCATGGTTAGAACTATTATTGACCTTGCTGTGGTTTAGAGAAGATGCCATGCTGCTGCAGGCTGTTTGTATGTGCTGTAAATAAAAAGAACAGATACAAACCTAACTATTGCTGCTGGTTGTGGAGTTGATCAACCAAATATCATATGATTCTTATTTTTGGGGATTAACATATTGTATGCATGACTGATTCAACTAAGATGTGGGGTTCTATCTTCTATCAGAAGTGTAACAGTTGTCACTTGCTCTTCGATAGATCCAACAACCATTGCTGTTTGAAGAGTTTGCGATTAACCATTGTGATTGTTCACCGTGGATCAGAAAAAAGAATCCATATTGAATTAGTGAGGTTTGGTCATGCCCATTTGAGTTCCATAGTTTCTTAGTTTTTTTCTCATTGAATTTTCTTCACATTTTTTTATGAGCTATTACAATGTTTGAGGATTCTGAATAGAACAGTGAGGCTGCTAGCTGGTTTAAGGACTATCCTAATCTCTATCTAGCAACACTATCTATTCTAAAAAGGTTCCATGGAAGATTCAACAAGATTTTTATTGCTGGCTATTGGTCCAAACTCATTGATAAAGTGAGTTTCTCAATTTCGAAATTGATCAACAAAGATATCTAACTTGGTTGCAATTTTAAGGTCTTGCGACCAGTGGTAAACCCTTCAAGCTTTCTCTAGACCTAAGAATGGTCTAGAAGCAGAAGTGGCAAACTTGTTTCTTCAGAAGAATATCATCTTGTAGTCCTACCAGATGTGAATCATTTGCAAATTTTATTCTTTATCGACATTTGTCTTGCACAATTTATGCATGCTTCTGCAGTCTGTCCAATTATGCTGGCAGATAAAAGGAATAGAAATATGCATCTGGCAATATCTTATGGTTGTATAATGATCAAGCAAATATCGTGTGGTTCCTCGACATTTGCTTTCTATGTTGATTATCCTGTTGTTTACTCTATTGATTCAACTAAGTCGCAGAGTGAACATTGGTGAGCAGCTGTTCAATAGAGCCAACAGCCCTTATTTATGCCATTAACCTGTCCTTATTTTACCACTGTACCTTTATATTTTTAATGTGCTCAATTGATATGCAGGGGCCATTATCTTCGAGTTTTCCTATAGAGAACCGAATCACTGCTGTAACGTTGAGAACTCTGAAGAACCACTTGGATCGGACAAAGCACCTTCCATTGGTGAAACGCATCTCTGACTTTCATCTGCTCCTCTTACTCTCAAGGCTTTTGGATGTAAATGCCGACATACCAGCACTCACCGAGTGTGTACAAAAGCAGTCATCAGTCCCAGAAGGTTACCAGCTTCTGATAGAATCATTGGCCACCTCCTGAGATGACATGTGCGTTGGTGCTGGGTCTATGATCTGCTTGTGGTGGAATCAATGTTCCAAAAATTTGCATTAAACATACGAATTATTACTGTTAATTACTTCTTTCTACTGGAATTTTCATGTAGATATGCTACCTGTGTTCTTTCCAATTAAAGGATCAGTGTTCTGCATGAGTTGGTCACCGGAAGTTAACCAAACAGTGATGGAATGCTGATCTTGCTGAAACTTACAGGAGCTGCAACTGTTTAGGCTATTGCATCGATTGCTTTGGCTAATATTTAAGCTATTTGGCTCTCTCCAGCCTTCATACGTTCCTGCCGTTCTTTCCCAAGCATCTTTACCATTGAAATGGTTACTACTTCCTGCCGAAATCTAGATTCTCTTGTACTGCTGGTGTCGAGGCATTCCTGCAGTCTTTCTGATAGAGGCCATTCTGGATAGAATTCCATCATCAGAACAATAATGTTTAAATGAATTGAGTGCTGAAAACAACAAACAGTAGCCATGAAATTACAGTGTTTAAACAGACGCAAACAAGACCCAGAGGTTATTCCTCCAAGGGTCTCTTATTGAGAGCACCCCACACGATCACATCGGATGAGGTCGAACATGAAAGGGAAAAGAATAGAACTGTGTGAACGCTCAGCAAAGCAGATGATGCATGCAGGCACGTCGGGCGTGCAAAGCCGAAGGGTCGACGTCGTGGATCAGTTCACGAAGCGACAGTGCTTCCTGATCTCTCCTTCCTTGCCGGTGAGAACGCCGACATCCCCCATCTTGGTTATCGAATTCCTGAACGCAGCGATGAAGGCCCCGAAGTCGACCATCTCGTCCACCACCTTGCTCGCTGCGCCATCGGTGAGGAGGACCGCGTCGGACTGGAACAGCCCCTTGTTCTGCTTCAGGTTCACGTAGTAATGGCTGTCGAACTTGAGGCCGCTGCCGGGATCCATGATGACCGTCGTGGTGTTGTCAGTAGGGCTGCACTTAGTCCTCAGGAACGCTGCGTAGGCTGGATCAAGCGACGGGTCGGAGTCGCCTTTGCCGGTGAAGTTGTAAAGCCTCTCGGCGAATAAGTTGCAGTGCCCGACGCCGATGGTGTGTGCACCTGCAAAACGATAAGAACCATGCACGAGCTCAAACCTCGTATGCTCATCGCATCAGCTCGACGTCCATTTCCTGTACCTGACAAGATGACGAGATCGTCGACACCGAGACTCTTATTGGCAAAACTCCGGACGAGCGTGGTGAAGTTGGAGGTAGGCCTGGGGATGTTGACCAGAGCCTCAGATAGCAGCGACACGTTACCGTCTCTTCTACCGGTCTTCACATCCCAGAGGGACTTCCCGAACTGCAGATAGATGCATACTTCTTCTACTTAGGCGCCACGAATAAGAACGACGTCGATGCACTGTTGCATTCTACTTACTGGGAATGAGACCGAGTCTCTCGCGGCCAACGCAACGATATCGGCGCAGGAGACCGTCCCCGGGCAAGCCTGCTCAAGTGCTTCCTTCACCATGTCGATCACCTCGAATCCTGCCAGTGATAGGTTAGGGGGAGCATCCTTTTCTGCAGTGCTCTCTGACGTCGAGTTCAGTAGCAGCGAAGCATCACAACCCTATATACATACATGCACGAAGCAAGCAGAGTCGTTATAAGGAGATAAAATGCCATGGAAGCACATCTACAACGTACCCTAACGAAGCAGTCATGGAAGAACATTCTCAGCAATTTGGCAGGCAGTATGGGGTTCTTCTCCGCTTCCTTATATATTATGGTCTGCACGATCTGCTCGGCGTTGGGACAACTGCTCCCGTAGAAGTTTGGCTTGAGGCCTGCAGATGGGCAACCGGCATTGCAAGCACCGAGAGTCAACGCCGAGGCCAACAGGACGAGGCGGAGAAGGAGGAAGCTGGACTCCATCTGTTAACACTCGTTTCTGTGCTAGCGGTGTTGAGTTCTTGTCTGCCTCATCCTCTCCGACTGCAGCCTCCATTTATAGAGAGAGGGGTCGGCGAGCATCAACCACCACAGAATTAAACAAGCACTAGTGCACTGATCGATACAGCTAAGTAGAGATTTGTTTAGCAGTAGTCATCTGCGTTTGTTGATGACGGGAAGCGGCTGGTGGCAATGAACCATCTTGACTTGGTCTAAATAATGTCACATAAATCATTCTTCCACTTGTTCTTCCTGGTTGACGGTATGGCTGATGAAACCGGTGTTTAGGGAATCATGCATTGGTATTTGCTGACATTAATAAGCGGTAAACCTACTCCTTGCTTGCTGAGTTAGTGCATCCACCAGCTTTGCCAGTGAGATGACACCTACTCATCGGTTGACTTGACCCATAAAACCCTACGGCGGAGTCTTGACTTTGTGTGGTTCCACGAGGAGGAGCACAGCAGTCGGTCGTACATGATTAGGACTACAGAATCCAGCTAATAAATGTCGGCTTTAGAATTAGCACAAGTACCGGTTGTTGGCATGAAAACCGGGTCTGATAGTTCGTACCTCCTTGTCAAGCGAACTAAAGTATACGGTGGGCAATAAATTCTCATTTTCAGTTTGCAATTATTTATTAGAAAGTTGGAATGTCAACTTCACTTCCTTCATTAATCTCATTATTTATGTCGAGCCTAAAAGAGTTTAGATGATCGAATCGATGTTTCTAACGAATTATCCTATCCTCCTCTAATTCTCAAGTCAGAACGTATAGAAGTTCAAAAAGTATGATAAAGTGGAAAGTCACAAAGAAAAAAAAAAGAGGAAAAGGCATTAGGGAGAGAGAGAGAGAGAGGAACCCCATCGTTGAGAGGGTTCCTGCAGACCGTCACCTGGACGCCGAAATTAGAACTCGTGTCAGACCCACAAGCTATTCAATCTCCACTCGATCTGACTCGGTCAACATCCAATAGATTTAAATTCAAATCCTGCATGGGTGGGAAATCTTATGCCTTGTCTGTCGTACGTCAAGATACAATGGATTCTTACCGTCTGACACTTTACGATTAATTACATGTTATCTTTTATAATTAATTATTTTTAATATTTTGATCCTTATAATTTTAAAAATTATATTAGAATTCATGTACTTATGAAAATAGAACATTTAATCTTATATTTCTTCACGCTATTGATTTTGCTAATGGAAATATCACATAGTTTATCATTAAGCACGTGTGATATTTCCATCAATGAGTAGACGGTATGAAAAATAATAAGATTAAATATTTTATTTTTATAAATACAGGATCCCAATATAACTCTTAAAAATATAAAAATCATGATAATATGAAGTGAATTTTTAGATATCTCAAATGGAGCTCTAAGGTTTGTTTAAGCTTTGAAGGTGGACTCCATCGAATCTCGGCTCCTTCTCCTACTACCTCGTGGACCGTGACTCCATCTCAAAGTAGTGCAGCGTTTTTCAAGGACGTCCTTCAGGATCGTTGCGTCGGCCTCCTTTAAAGTTGAACAAGGGCCACCACGCCGGGCCCTCTTCTCCTCCTTGCGCTAGCGGTATTCTTTACTGTCGCCCTTCTCTGCCTCTTCCTGCAAAAGTAGAGCTGACACAGCCTTGCTATAGCTTTCTCTATTACTGCAGCTTTCTCCTCTGCTGCAGTCATCGTCATCGTCGTCGCAGTCGTCGTCATCGCCGTCTCTGCCGTTGTCATCGCTGTCGTTGCCACAGCAATAGCAACAGCAACAGCAACAATTTGCTCTTGCCTTACTTACGAAGCCTCTTGCTCGTAAACTATTTGCTTTGCATTGATCCAAGATTGGTATCCTTGACAGGAGCACCATCTTACAAAGGCATGATAGCAGATAAGATTTCCACAACTATATAAGAAAATCTCTCTATTCTGTTTGTAAAGAAATATTATGGATGAAAGAATTGAGGCTGAAATAGAAAAATTATGTGGTGCATTGTGATAGCTAGAGTACCATCCATATAAATGTCAGATACCATTGGATTCGAAATGTATTTGAAGAGAAACAGTTGTAGCTTCAGAAAATTCACACAGATGACAATAAAGCAGACATGTTGACAAAGATTTTACCAAAAGAAAGACTAGAGATATACCGACAGCTGATCGGTATGACTTTACATTGAGGAGTCATGGGATAGCCTTCCTTATGGGTTTAAATAGCCCACAGCCCACCTTATCTCTTAACCTAACCCTAATTCATATTATGGGGGTGTGGGGCAGCAATGAGATTGTTCTCAATCATCCAACAGTGTTCTCATCTCAAATCTACCGTAGATTTTTAATGTGATTACTTTGGGAGAATTACGAAGGATTTAGAATTTTGAGCACATTGACGTGATTTTTGTATCCTAGTTATTCTCTTGTGATTGTTGCTAGGGCTTTGGGCAAGAGATTGAGATTTGTATATTTATTATTTTTATAGTGAATTATCTCTAGTTTGCCCTATGATTTTTACCCTTCACATTGGAGGGATTTTTCACCTATATCTTAGTATTTTATTTAATTATAATTTCATTTAATATTGCCGTGACATATTAGTATTTGTTCATATACAAAAGTTTATATCTCATAAAAGATAACTGATTACAAAATATAATTTTTAAAAATATAAAAATTATGATGCTAAAGCTAATGATAATTGATTACAAAAGATAATATATAATTAATCCATAATCTGTAATTAGCTAAATCATTTTTATATCCGTACTTCACACATTTTACTACTCCTTTGTGTATATCATGATTCCAATACTAAATCGATCAAGTTAGAATGTAAGATCGATCGATGTTATATAAGAACGATAAATTCTCCTATCAAACTAATAATATCAATGAGGATTGACAGAGGATTATGAGACAAATAATAACTCGATAGATCCTATTTAATGGTGCTTATCACAATCGAACATCGAAAGCCTTCTACGTGGATACTTCTTTTGCAAAGACAACAACAAAAAGGACATGGGTGGGACGGTAATCCAATTTCTGCATTTTATATATATATATATATATATATATAATCCGTTCACTGTGAGCAACCCAACAAACAAAATGCATGCAATTCCCCGTACGAAGGAATGCGGCACGAGAATCGAGACGAGTGGTCTTCTCTAAGTTCCGCATTGATGAGAGTAAAAGAGCACCACATTTAACGGGCTGACATGGTCTCCTATGACCGTGGTCAAAGGAGTAAAACGGACGGCTCACCCTCGTCCCCGCCTTCATCAGACGGCCGCCTGTACGAAGACGGGCGCTTTAAAAGCCGTGCGTCTCTTGAGTTCTGCAGGAGCAATGTATGTGGTGGATTGCCTGATCATATAAATGCATATTAGAATGCATGCAGTCAGAGTCACGAGAAGCTGCTCGATCGGCGTTCAAAATATGGATCGTAATCCGTACTGAGCTCTTCTGCATCAGATGGAACACCACCAACTCACGGGGATTCGATGAAATGGGGTTGAGAGCTCACGGGCGCGGATGCAGGCGCCGTGATGCAGAATCGGAAGGGGACCATTTGACGGAGGAAGCAGCAGCTGCTACTTCTTCTTCTTCTTCTTCTTCTTCTTCTGCAGCACACAATAAAATAGCACCTGAACTTTGGGTGCAGATGTGACTCCAGAAAGACGAATTTAAATGCTTTCACGAAAAGAATGAGAGAATTTTTTTATTACATAACCACAAATCTCAAAAAGTTTTAAAGAATATTCTTATTATATATTTTTAAATTAAAATAAAGTTGGCAGACATGAAAATTTTAAATTCATGACATGCTCTACTGCTACAATAAAGATTTTTTTATGGTGTAATCAATAATCCCAGAAGCTAATGACATCGAAAAATAATCCAAGCCTTAATACTATTATGACGCTATCTATAGTTCATCCTCTTCAAATTAAAAGAGTTTTTTTTTCTATGAGAAAAAGGTAAAGTATTAAGCATTTAGTAATTATAACAAAGTGAAATAATGTATCAAAAATATCAATTTTTGTATTATTTTTATTTTTATCATAAAATGCTCTATTTTTATAATGTAGAGAGCTCTTTTTTTACTGATATAATTTAGAATATATATTTATTTTTTGAAATAAAAATAAAATAAAATAAAACAAAACAAAACAAAGAGGGGATGTGGAGGCATTTTTGATATTTAAGCCATTTCGAGGGGCAGTCTCGGGTTCTCAGCAATAAAAAAGTAGGAGAAGGCTGGCGTTAGAATTTGAATGTGGTGGCCGTTTGAACTCCGCCCTTCTCCTTTTAAATCTCTCTCTCTCTCTCTCTCTCTCTCACACACATACCAACTTCAATTCAATATTTAATGGATGGCTGGAGTTCACACAAAACTCCAGCTTTGGATTTATGAGCCCCAAACCCCAAATCCCCACATATTTTGATCCCTTCTTCCTCTAGATGCTCTCCAGATCTACAGGCTGGTGGATGCTCCGGATCTATTGCTAGATGCGATCTAGAGGTTCTTAAGATTCAGTAGTACAAACGAGCTCGGCTTGAGGAGTGTGTGTGCGTGGAGAGAGATGACGGGAGTGGTGTTGGTGTCGTCGGCCGGTGGATGCAGGGGAAGGAGAGGGGAGGAGGAGGAAGGGAAGCGGGCTAAGGAGAAGGAGGAGGAGCGACGGAAGCAGCAGCAGATTTCTGTTCTGGCGCTGCTCCTGGCGGCAATCCGGCGGTCCATGGTGTCCTCGTGCCGGATGGAGCGGGATGCCGACGACGAGGTCATACCTGCGCTGCAGCACATGGAGATCGGGTGGCCGACCGATGTCCGCCACGTCGCGCACGTCACCTTCGATCGCTTCAATGGGTTCCTCGGCCTCCCCGTCGAGTTCGAGTTGGAGGTCCCCGGCCGCGTGCCCAGTGCGAGGTCCACCTTCTTCCTTCTCTCCCTCCCTCTGTCTCCTCTCTCATGTTGAGTTGGGAGATCAATCGATTCGATTTTGCATTGGTTTTGGCTTCTGTT